AAAAAAAAATTAAAATATAACCATGCCACGTCATGATACTTGGAAATATGATAAACAACTAAAAAAAAATGTAAGATGTATTAAGATTAAAAATTGTCCCTGTGAAGTTTTTCTCGAAGCTAGAGATTATTATAAGATCATTAAGGAGGAGTTTGATTTGCAAGAAAACGCGTTTCTTTCCCATACTTGGTAAGTTCAAGATTGGAACGATTTCATGCCCTCTAGAAAAATGAGGGGAAAAAAAATAAAACCCTCTATCAAGTTTGGGTTTCCTTTTGATTTTCCTCGCAATAATTAATTGCATTTTTTTTTGGTACTGTATTCCCCCATTAACAATTATAAAATGCGATGGGAAATCTAACCAAGCATAATTTAGGGTGTAATTGGAAATGAAGTAGAATGATAGTTTCTAGTTACTTTCCCTGCATTACCGAATATGAGAAAGAGAAATGAAAATTGATTTTAACATGAATCCTCTGTGTGATCCAAACACCTCCTACGGGTAAACACACAGTCAATAAAACAATCAATTTCATTTTTATAATTTTAAGAGTAACTTGTGTGTCTAGTTGTTCTTAATTTTCCAGTAATTATGAGTTAATAAAATATATAATGGGACAAATAATCTTTGAATTTTCCTGACCTCAATTGCACGGAGAAAATGTTTATAAAATCTGAATTCGTGGCCGTTGAATAAATAAATAAAAATATATATAACAAGACCTGTACATGTCCGTTTGAAGTTGATATGCTATATACCGACAAATAGAATCTTTTTTCTTTTTGAGATGGACAAACAAATTAAAACGTATTTAATTATTTGTTGTATGTTCATTTTTATTTACTATAATGATCCACTTGTCGTCATGTTTGTCTTGGTAGGCAGACTTGTATTAGTCCACACACACGTTTTGCTGAGTAACGTGGTTCATGAGAGAGAGAGAGAGAAGAGGAGAAGAATTGAAAACCAAGGCGAGGAAATCAAAGTTTTCAAGCCAATATTATTGAATGATTTTGCTTCATCGGAAATAAGCTGTTTATACAATGAACTTATGTTCGATAAAATTTATTATAATTTTGGGATTCAAATTTTGTATAAACAAATTTGACATCCCTCACATTATTGTCCATAATAGCATCTGCATTATTGAAGGAAATACAAATATATAACCAAGACCAACAATAACTCTAATCCGATTTCTTCACTTCTAGAGCCAACCTTTGAACCATAGTGCCGACTTTTTTGGGTACCTTTTTAGTCCATCGTTATAATCAACATAATAGAGGCCGAATCGAACAGTGAATCCAGAATTCCATTCAAAATTGTCTAGCAATGACCAAGCA